AAATTTGAACCGCTACAAAAATGAAAGATCGGATGCAAGACGAATCACGGCGAGACGTCCGTTCCGAACGAACCGCTTCCCTGTCGCGTCCCTTTTTACGACTCCCGAGAAATATCGACCGACTTTGCAGAATATACTCTGAATTTCCTGGAGTGAAATTTCCCAAAACAGAATAACGATCGATCCATTCAAATTCGAGAAATTTCACACTCGCGCGAAGAGCGAACACTCTCCGCGCTTGATCGTCGAGCGTAGAATATTTTCACCGGAGAAGAACAAATTGCCACTCGAAGAAATTCCGAGTGATTTCCGAGAAAATCAGGGAAAAATTCCCCGATCTGCGATAATTGCGAAGAGCGCGAAGCGAAGGTCGCGGGGATACGACGATCGGCAATAAAAGATTTTTCCAGCGCACGGTTATCGGTAAGTCGAAGCTGAACGGCGACGCATGGGGACGCGGTCGCAATATCGTCGCAGAAGTAATACTTCTCGTAAACACATCGGCGTTCACCGTCGGCGTTTAGTATTCTCAAGTTGCAGTTAGCATCCGGTTAACCGGCGCGACCGCACCCATCGAGCCGGACGATACTTTTTCCGTTAGCGAGGAGAAAGAGAGAGAGAGAGAGATAAAGAGAGGGAGAAAGAAAGAGAGACAAAACGAGCCCGGTGAGACCGTTTCCTTTTTGCTACGCCTCGATTCGGGGACGCAAGAGGCCTTGGAAGGATCGAGCCGCCGACCTATATCGCTTTTATGTTAACGCTTGAAATACGAACGCGCGCCGAATCCTAGGCGTCTTTCCGTTCTCCTTGATCGTGTCCCGCTTCGATCCTCAAAGGTGCGCTCATACCTGCCGCCAATAAACAGCTCGATTCTAGGAAGCCAATATGCGGAAAGAGTATCGATGCTCTCCGGCGATATAGGTATTTCTCTTTCGACACCGATTTCGCCACGGTACTTTTCTTCCGACCGGCGCACCGCCGGAATTAGACTCGCGAGATTTTATCCGGCGAGACCAGCGGCGAGAGATTGGCAAAAATCGAGGTAACAAATTCCACTGATTCGATAAGTATCGGGGAAACTTTATTTTTAAAGCTCGGGAAACACGGTGAGTAGCCGATCGAGAGCTTCCGAGAGACGCGTTCCCCGAACGACCGATTCGGTCGTGAAAATAATAACGCTCGTTTCGCAGAAATGATTTATTTCACGGAAATAGTCTATGTAGTCGCGGCGACCTTGAGAATAAAATAGAAAAAGAAAAAGCAGAAAACCGGAGAGAGGGGCGGGGGGAGGGTCTCTGGTCAGGTGAGTGTGACGTGCGTGGAGGCGCACGAGCGGCTTGTAGTTCTGCCAAGAGCGTAAGGGATTCAACGGCGATCTCGACACACGAGAGATCGAAACACACCGATGGAACACGTTCGAAGGGATCACAGACGTGCACACGCGGCTTCTGACACACATACGCACATCCTGTGTATCGGGAATTTCGCGGTTTTTAGTTGACAGCATGGAACCTTCGCGGTTTATGAACCGATCGCGATTGCGCAATGTTTCCTTTTCGCGCGCGCGCGCGAGAGAGAGAGAGAGAGAGAAGGAACGGTCGTGTCATTCGCGAGCACGAAAGAGCAACGAACGTCGCGTCGCGCCGCCGTTTTCGCCGAAAGAGTTTCGTTAGGCTGCGCGTATATATGGTTTATATTTGTATGACTTTCAACGTGCCTCTCTTGACGTGTTTGCGCAAAATAAAGAATTTGGACGGCCCGAGCGTCTCTCTCTCTCTTCCTCGCACGACCGCCGTGTGCGCGTTACTAAAAATACACCGTAGGCGAAACGCGACCGAAGAGCGCATCGCGCGCTTTCTGGCGTACCGCATTTATAGATCGGCCATTTACCGTGGCGAAAGAAAAAAAGAAAGAAAGAAAGAAGCGCGCGCGGCGCTTCTATGAAGGGCGTCGCGTGGGAGCGTGGTCGCTCTCTTCTTCTTCCTTTTCTTCGCTCTTTCGTTTCCCGCGAAATCGAAGCGTAAATCGACGTCGCGGCGAAGCCCGACTCGCGGATTCGCCCGACGACGTAACTCGCTCCCGCGAGGAGAATATTTACGAGCCCCTTCCGCCTCGCGATTCCCGATGAAACTCGGCGGTGGGTCCGCCGCGCTGAAGGAGGAAGCAGAGGGGGGAGTAAGACGGAGGGGAAAGAGAAGCCGCGAGAAATCGACGCGGTGTTGCTTCCTCAAACAATTCTGCCGGCTTCTGCAAAGACGGGGACGCGTACCAACATTTTCTCGCAAAATATTTAATCCGTCATCTCGCGGGGGACTTGGATTTTTCCGCCGCGCGCGGGAATACATTCGAGAGAGGAGAGGAGCGGTCAGAGCGGTCTGTTATTCCTGCGTAAAACGATTGCGAACGCAAAAGCGCGGCCGCAGCTGGCCGCGCCTCGTGCGACTCTCTATCGTTTCCTTCGAGAACGACGGGGAGAGAATAATTCACACGGCGCGCTCCCCCGAGCGCGGCGTCGCTGCATATTCTGATTTCCAACGCAGCGAACGGACTCAATCAAGCCCGAACTGTTATTTCCGTCTAAAACAATTACCGAAAAGCCGTCCAGCTGGCCGAGGGCGCGCCCGCCTCTCCGGGGCGAAGGCTAATGCGGCTCTAGAATTTCTATGAGAATAGAAAATGCGGCGGATCGAGTGCTATTATGCAACTCCCCTAGGCCGCGTCGTCCTCGTCGTTGTCGACGGACATCACGTTCAGGAGAGAACAAGAGTGTACCGACTGGCACTAAACCTGTTTACGCGTTAAAGTCCACCACACTCGCCATTTTTTTTACGACGCCGTATCCGCGCTTTTAATACGCGACGCGAAGCAGGAAGAAATCATTTTTACGGTCCCGCGATCACTCGCTGCTGCTGCACACTCCGTGAGTAAACAATGTGCGTAAACAGCGGTAATAGAGGCGGGCGAGAGGAGGAGGGCTCTACGTGCCGGCGACCGTCGCGAATTTATTCATTCGCGGAGTATACATCGATACCGTGCGCGACATATATTCGTCGCTGTCGCGACACCGCCCAGACGAGACGAAATGATCCCTCGTCGAGGGAGAGATACGTGACGATCTGCCGCCGCCCGGGATAAATTGCCGATCCTGTCGCGTTCCAACGGCTGGCTCATCATCTGATCCCGAGAATCATAAACTTGCATAAATTTCGAATACTCCGCGGAGCTTCGGGTCTCGCGGCTCGTATTTACCGCCCCTTACAAATATATCTCACCGTTTTCAGCCCTGTTGCTTAAAACCGTAACACTGTTGGTTTGAGTAGCGAACGCGTGTATGAGTGTGGCTCCGTTTTCAGGTCGGAAAGGGATATTTCTCCGTAATAACGAGTAGTTACGGCGGATTACATACGAGTATATCCGAATAGTATTAACGTACCATGGGGTACTTTTGAGTGGTAAACACGTACAGTGCTGCGTAAATTTGAGGTGTGCAAACGTACATTCAGCTACGAGTGCAAAATACTTGTTCAACAGTCATTAGCACTAACATCGCGCATTTTTGGTACGAGTAAATGCACGACGCTTTAACATCGTTTCTTTCCGTGTTGAGACAGAACTGAGGAGGAATTGAAAGAGGAACGTATTAATGTGCTCTCACTCATCAGCTGGAAAATGAGTATTTAAATGGACAATCTCCTCGAAAATACTTATGCATGCTCGCATGTAAACATCGCTCAATAGACTGCATGTGTTTGAGAGTACGAAAACAGGCATAAAAAGAATAAAACGGATTAAAAACGGGCCAGAAACGGGCCACATGTGAGGAGTGAAAAACAGTGAAATATTTTTGTAAAGGACTCCAATACGGTTTATCGCCAATATGTACGTTTACATCACTCATGCGGCTATATTTATCACAAATATATCCTCGCGATTCCCACGACAAGAGGCCGGAAATCGGGAAAAATTGATTGTTAAAAAACGCTTCGTCCGACGCGTTGTTTGGCGGTCACACATGCGTGCGTACGCTGAATCTCGACTGCCCCGCGGAGCTCCGTTCGGGATTTCGCGACTCGTGTATTCACATCGTCAATGTATACCTCGCGTTTCCCACGGCTCGATAAGCGGCCGGAAATCGGGAAAAATTGATTGTTAAAAAACGCCCCGCTCAACGCGTTGTTTGACGGCCACGCGCACACATATGCACAGGCGGCGTACATGCATCTCGGAGGCTGTAAAGGTTAAATTAACGGGTTTACAATTCAAATTTCTCCCCCCGACGCCACCCCGAAGGATATATTATCCAGCATGCGTAAGGTCGCATTCAAGAGCCCGTCATATGAGAAAGTGCGCGCCGCGCCGATCGTAATCTCTTAATTTCGCATGTTTTTACGCCCCCGCGGGCGCGGCGTCGGGGTACCCAAACCGGTATGCCATAATGCGACTTGGGTCGCACGCCGGGCCGCGCGCGGGATTAAACTAATCGCGCGACAAGATATATAAAAGATACACCGGCCAGGTACCCGTTATTGCCACCCCCGCTTACGAGCACCCTCCACGAAAGAAAAGTGCCTCGTCTGCGCGTTCACCCCCCTCCTCAGCGATATATATTTTCTCGATGTGCATCTTCCGACAAAAAAAAGAAGAGCAACGATTCGATCTTGGGAAAATCTCGCGAGCGGACTCTCTGGTGGTTTCGCGAGCCGAGAAACAAGAAAGAGAAGCAGGCCCGTGCGGGCGTGTTTGACACTGACAGTGGCTGCGATCAGCGACCGAGTTTACGCGGCGGCAGCACGACGCAAAGATACGTGCGCACGGCGCGGAGCGGCGCGGCGGAATGAGCGCTTCGACGGCCGAGCGTGGCGCGGCCGACGGGGGAAGCGACGTCGGCCGGCGCTGATTGGCGGAGCTGGCGGCGCGCCGGAGTGGGGATACTCTTTACAGCTGAGCGTAGTATAGAGCGGACTAGCGAGCGCACGCAGTCAGTAGCACATGAGCGCTCACCGAGCGTACATCGGCTGTGTTAACGGACGGTGCGACGGGGCGATAATGCCACCACCATCGTGATCGACGAGCGACCGTGTGAGAGAGAGAGAGGATCTTAAACGCCAGTTTGCTACACGCGCGTGCACGTCGTCGATATCCGGCAGCGAGGAGGACACGTTGCACCGCAGAGAACGAAGGGAAGAAAAGAGAGAGAGATAGAGACTGTGGCGACTCGACGGAGAGGCGACCAGAGTGCTCGCACGAGCACATGGGAGTGCGGAATTCGCGCGTCCTCGTGGCCGCGGTGGTCTCTCGCATCTGCTTCTCTTCGCTCAGATAAGCTCGCAACGAGGTGTCGCAGAACGTTCGTTCGGTCGGTCGGACTCGACGCACCGGATATCATCGCGCGCGCAGTCCTCGCGTGATCCTCAGTCGAGTCGCGTTCACGAGGGGCTCTCGCTTTTTCCGTCGTTGCACCGGGAACACTGCGGCGCGCGCAACTTTTTCCGGACGTTGTCGGAAAGAGAGAAAGAGGGGGAGAAGAGCGACGTTGCTGCTGAAGGACGGAAAGAAGACTTAGTTTTCGTCCCGAGGGAAGAAAGATCAGAGAAAGAGAGAGAGCTCTTACGAAGCGTGCGTCGCAGCGATCGCCTGGTCGGTTGGTCGCCACGGGACATTCGCGAGGCGGACCGCAGAGTGGTCAGTCGCGTCGTGTGCCCGCGCGAGACCGACAGGGGTGAGACGATTCGGCGCGCGCTCTCCCCGTACGAGTTTATCAACGGAGCGCGCTGAATTGTGATGCGAGTCGTTGACTGTTAAATTGAAAGTGTGTAGTGCACGCGGAGAGTTTCTCGCAAGCGTTACGAAAATGGTGCCGCAACAGCAGGACAGTCCCTCGACCTCGGGGCTTCCTACGTTCGGATCGTTACTTGTGGATAAAAATTCGGCGACACCGTACTCCGATGCAACCCAGGTAAATAGCCGCAAGTCGGTCTTGCCGAGTCGCCGACGACCACGACGACTATAGTCGTCGTCGACGGCGAAGCTTCTCTCGATCGGCGCGAGTTCGCCGAAAGCGGACCGATGTGCAAAAACAAACTCGCCCGTTTCGCGTGGAAACGCGCGTTTAGCGATTATCGCGGCTCGCCGAATGGACGGGGAGAAGAGAGCGGTCGGACGCTAATTCGTGATTCTCGAAAATCGCGTAAGTCAAGGTGCGAAATGCGACGCAACGCGCGTCCGCCCGTCGCACGTGTGCTGCTAAATGCGCCGGCACACGATATTTCGCGCGATCTATCCGGCCGAATGTGCTGCTCGAACACCTGCCTTCAAATCGAGCCGATAAGACTCCGAGTCGTGCGTTTTCATCGCTAAACGCCCGGTAATTGGCGGTAATTGCGTTTTTCGTGAAAAAACGCCGAGTCCGCGCGATAAAACGGCGATAATATCGGCATCCGATGTCCCCCGACGTCGATATCGCTCGGTCTCGATGCGTCATTTTCGGATTTATCGGATTTACAGTGCTGATTGTGCGGAAGTGTTAACGACATTATTAACCATCGACGTCGGGAGAGAGATGAGTATTTAAAGAGGATCGTAAAATACATTTCCGGCCGTATGCGAAGTGTATAAATCGCCGTAGTGCGTTCCGCGAGATTTATCGTCGTGCCGAGTATTTTGCATTCTTTTCGTATTCATCGGCGCGACTTGTCTAGAATTTATGATGGACGGCGGCATCGGTAATGCTGTCGGGAGAGACGAGTCCGACGTCTCTTGTCGAAACACGCGCGATCATCCGCAGAGAGAAAGAGCGAGCGATGCTTATTCTCCTCTTATCTTCTCTTCGTCAAATGTGTTCTCTTTTTTTCCCATCCGTTCTCGTTTAAATAATCCGTTCTAACGCGAGAATGGAAATTCCTCGCCGTGAGATAAATGTCGAAAAAATAAATACTTATTCGGCGTGTGCTAGTAACACATTCGTTGGTATTCTCGCACTGAATAAATGTTTTCCAAATGAGAAAATATACAAAATTTTCTTAAAACCGCGGCTTTTCGTGGAAGAGCGAGAGTGCTCTTCCTATCGAAGCAAAAGAATTTAAAATCAAGTAAATATCTTTTCATTTACCCGCAAATTTGCATCGTTCAATTTCGACATCTATGATGTGTAATTCGTAAATTCGATCGAAAAACTCGACGTGTGGATGTCTCGAGCGCGACGAAAGATTTAGACGCAGAGCACTTAAAGTGGAGCAATCACTAGAGACCGGACGCTCTCGTGAGCGTTTGAATCCGCGTAACGACGATTCGGTGAAATAAATCTGTTCATTGAAAGTGTCATGATTCGACGTTCGATGAGATACGACGCGGCGCGTTGAGATAGCCCGTCATACACGAAACGCAAAACGCCTCTCGACGTTTGTTTTTGCGGGACGCGTCGGCTCGACATCGTAAACGGTGTTTTTCCGTGTATTGATCAACACGAGATCCCCGGTAGTGCCTTCGACCGAAAGAAATCGGTCGTTTCAAATATAGATATATATTTATCTTATCGTCTGCTGCCAAAAGTTGATACGGTTTTCACACGCAATGCCCGCGTCATCGAAACATCAACAATATTCTATTATCGCGTGGATCGCGTCTGATTTTAAATCTCGAGTATCTTACAGCTTAGAAAGAAGAAAACGACACATTTACCCGTCGCGTCACGCCGAACAGTCTCGATAGCCGTTATTCACACACCGGCCGTTATTCGCCTTAGCTCGGATACGGCGAAACCTTGACGAAAATTGAGCGTCAAAGAAGACCGTGACGAAATTCGGAAGAAGCCGGAATAATCTCAACAACGGAGAGAAGATATGGCGAACGAAAAAATAACTTGGGAATTTTCGAGAGGAACAACGTTAATACCTCCGTAAAGAGTTTCGTTCGAAATCGGATCGTGGCCGAATTGTGAGAAAAGATTCAAGGAAACCCGCAGCGCGCGCGCGCGCGCGCAGAAACTTCAGCTTTAGGTCGGCTACGTCATGTTTTCCGTTCCCTCACGGACGGCGACAGAGAGAAAATGTGCCATATGGTTCGCGTGAAAATTCCACGGTGTTTTTCAGACCTGGCTTTTCCCTCCTTCCTATATCCTTCTCTCTCTTTTTTTCGAAGCCCGATACCGGATACTTCTTCCATATATAATTACTTGAAGGCACACCGAAAGAAAGAATGAGAGGGAGAGAGAGACCCGGCCGACACCGACATTTTTCTCGGTAAGTCCCGGCTCTCCTTTCGACCGGTCAATTATCCCTCAGGACTTTAATGGTTCAGCCTCTAATTCTAGAGTTCGGCGTCCAGGTAGTCCCTCGCTCTCTCTCTCGGGGTCGTGTATTTTGTATCGCTCCGGGGAAATAACATTCCCCGGGTTGGTGCGCGCCGGGCGCTCGCTCGAGTATCGGTTCGCGGCGGAATAATCGATCGATCGCGTCATCGTTGTGATTTTTGATTTCGCACGCACGACTCCGCGCCGGCCCGAGAGAGGCTGTAATTCGACGGTGCACCGTTCATTTCGATCGGTCCGTAAAGCACGAATCAGGAATGTAGCGACCGTTGTGTGTTCTATTTAGCTTCCGTTTTAGTTCCACGCCGAGATCGACCGGCGGGGATCAAGACCGCCTTATTGCCGATGCGGATTTATAAATCGCAAACTTCACCGTATATAATCGCGTCGCTGGAGTTTGCGAGATCTCGTCAAATTGCAGTCTCGTTAGTTTTACGTTTGTCTAGCAGAAGTTGATTAGCAATGCACGACGGGAATGCGAGAACGATTCTAGATGGTCGCTATTTGTTACGCTGAGAGAAAACCCGATTCCGTTGAGATAACTGAATTTTCCATTGCCTGGATAGCAGGTGAAAAACTCGGTCGTAGGAACGGAAAGATTTCTGTACACACAGTAAAAAATGTGTCGAATAAAAACGGTCCACTGAAAGTCTTTATGTTACTTAAATATGAGGAATATGTTGAAAAGTATGCAAATATATGTTAAATTAATATATTCGCCTTATAATAATAATATATTACTTTTTAACATAATATATTACTTTTTAACATATTCACCGTGTTACACAAAGATTTCAACGGAGCGTTTTTAATACAACATTTTTTACTTTATAGGAATTTCCTAATTCGTCAGTTACTCTCAGTTGCGTCCGTCGAGTTTCTCAACGCGGGCAGTTCACACGAATGTTCTCAGCCACACGGAGAGACATCACTCCTCGTCACAGTTTTCATCTGGTCCCTGTTCAGCCGAAGGAAACCGAGTCATTTTTTCCGTGTGAAAAGCACGCGCAAAAAAACGATTCCGTTGGTGTAGCGGAATTTTCCGTCGCCCGGGGAGCAGAAACGGAAACGGCCGTAGGAACGGAAAGATTCCCGTGGAAGATTTCTGCTCGGTCAATCGCTCTCCAGTTGTCTCGACCGAATTTTAATACGCGGCCGGATGTGTTCGCACGGGTCTTCTCGGTCGCGGTAACGGAGAGAAGAAAAATGTATTTCTCGTCATCGACTTTTTATTCGTTGTCAGCGAATTCCCATCTGTTCGATTTGCTTGAACTTAGTTATTTTTCTCCGCGCATCCATGGAATATTCATGCGTCTCTCTCTCTCTCTCTCTCGGTTTATATTCGGCGACCGTTTCGGACGGATCGCGTTGCACCGCAGTTACGTTAACCATCTTAATCTCCCCTGACATGCTGTAACTCTCCGCGCGCTGTTCGTTATCAGACCTCCCGTTGCATCCGCCTGGTGATAGCCGCCTGAGACCGCAACTAGTGCGTTTATGATAAAGGCTCGTCTGGAACGCGCGGCACTTGAAGGGGAGGGAACGCGCGAGTTTCACGTGATGCACACGGATGTGAGTCGACTGCGAGTTCGCCAAGGGCGGTCGCGCGACGTTCAAGTTAATTAACATTAATCCGACCGCTCCCCGGATTACGCCGTATTAAGCATGTGCGAACGGGATACATTAGATGTTAATCAAATATATTCATTAATATATAAATCACAGCGCGAGCGATCCAATCTCGCGGGCGCCCGCTCGTTTCGCGTTAAACGTGACAGTTAATTTCTACCCTCGCATCGGCCGATCCGACATATCGCGCACGATCTTCGTGTCGGACGCGTAAAATCCCGGAAGAACACCACGCCATCTCGCTCGGTGGTGTTGTTGTTGTTCACGTGCGGCGACAGACGGACGCGTTTCAGGCGCGTTTAAACGCGTTACGCGGAATATAGGCCAACAGCGCGTTTTTTTCGACGCGACGCACGTCGTTCGTCGAGAGAAGGCAAGCTGTGCTCGGGTCGGGAAGCTTTGTAGGGAGCGAGAAAGAGAGAGAGAGAGAGAGCGGGAAGGACCAAAGGACTCTCGGAGCGGGCAACGTGGGATCCGTAATTTTCGTCTCGATTCCAATTTCTTTTTCTCGCGGGCTTAATCTCGTCCGGTAAATTGGCGGTGGCCCTCTGAACTTCTCTTTGACTGCCGTCGGCCTCTCCCTGGCCGTCTCCTCCGTCGCCGTCCGCCTCCTCCTGATAGCTACAATCCCATCAAATTATCCCGATTACCTGTAGCCTTGACGGCATACGCGAGCCTTTCTAATAGAGACAAGCGCGCGCACCGACGTTAACGACGATTTCGAAGTCGAACGCGCGCCGGCATTCGCGCGAGTGTTGCTCGTATATGTACCGTAGTGCGTCCCTCGTGTTCTCTCTTTCTCTCGCTCACACGAGTTTAGCCGCGTCGTGAACGCGGCCGTCGCGCCGATTCGCGCCTTTCATTGACATTGAACGCGATTCTCGCGCTTAGACCGAGAGTCCGGGATCGAACGGTCGGAGCGCGCGCGCCTTGAGAATTTCGAGAAATCGCGCGCTGTTGAGGAAACCACTTGTTCCGTACTTTACCGACATATTGTACGAATTACACGTCGTCCTCGTAAC